GGGATTGGGAGAGGGAGGGGCCAGAGAACATGAGCTACCCTTCTGAGAAGACTGGTTATGAAGGGACAGTTGGGAGTGGCCACTTGACATAAGAGCTGGGCTCAGTTTTCTGGGCTTAAAAAGTGTAAGCACATCTGTTTGAGCAGAATCAGCTTTGGCCATTGTAATGAGTCACTGCTTGATATTTGAGACCTGCCATCTGCTGAGGGAAGCTCTGGGCTCCCTTTCTTCTAATCCTTTGGCCTCCTCTTATTTTTCATTTCATGTACAATTTCCATAATGTCCTTGTGATGTGAGAAGGCTGGACATTGAACATTTCCTGGCGCATTCAAAGGTTGAGTCCCACGGAGACCATCTCATGCTCAATCAATGTGACATGTCTTCCCTGGTTCCCGGCTTGATGTTTCCAAGACATGAAATTGGAGATGGGTCCCCAAAGACACTTTAAACTCCCAGTATCACCTTACATTTGCACAGTAATGGCCCAGCCCCAGAGTATTTTGAAAGTCACTGTTCTATCTCATTCTTACAATGCCCCCAAGAGGAGGGAGAATGAGATAATGCCATGTCATAGGCAATGCCAACCAGCCCACCAACAGAGGGCTGGAAGCTCCCTAACTCCAGTGAGGCCACGTTCTCTTCTCCCCTCCACCCTTTCAAAACATCAACAGCAGTAACAGCTCATGATAAGAGAGAAAGATTGGGACAAAAAGGGAGTCCCCAACTGCACCCCTGTCTAAGTCACTGTTCTCATTGAACAGCACTGCAGCACTACATATAATCTCAATGCTCCCTCTAAACTTCTAATCCTTGTCTTCTCATTGAAATCCTTCAAAGGCATTTAAAGTCTATTCATTATTTAAAGATTTATTTATTTATCATTTATACATTGTTCTGTCTCCATGTATGCCTGCATGCCCTAAGAGGGCACCAGATCTCATTACAGATGGAAATTGAACTCAGATCCTCTAGAAGAAAAGCAAGTGCTCTTAATTTCTGAGTCATCTCTCCGGCCCCTAAAATATATTCTTCTGTATTTTTATACATGTTTGGTTCTTTGGTTGAAGATCCCTCATTATCTTCTCTCATAGTGGTCCTCAACCTTCCTAATGCTGTGACACTTTAATACAGTTCCTCATTTTGTGGTGGCCTCCAACCATAAAATTATTTCGCTGCTACTTTATAACTATAATTTTGCTATTGTTATAAATTATAATGTAAATATCTGATGTGCAATCTATCTGGTATGTGACCCCTGTGAAAAGGTAGGTTGACCCTCAAAGGGGTCCCACCCTACAAGTTGAGAACCATTGTTCTTTCTCCTTTTCTCTTGCACCTAATCTCTTCTTCCTTACAAGTCTTCCTACTTTAACACACCCTTTTGTGTGTGATCCACTACATTTAATTAGAGATGCCTGCATGAGCACGTATGAGGGCACTGTTTGCTTAAGTTGGAGCAATGTACCAGTGGCTACACCACTGAGAGCTACGAGGGCAATTTTCAAAAGGAAGATCCCTGGAACCTAAGGCAAAAGGGAAAGATCACTGATAATAGATTTCCAGACAATTCTAATACACATGCAAACTGAGACCCAGCGAACATGGCAAATTAATGGTGTAGGGAAACCATATTAAACAGAGACCCTTCCTCTATGAGGATGTCCCTAGTGGCAGCTCCTCCCCCTATGTAGCTAGAGTTTAGACACAGGGAGTATCCTTAACTAGTCTACTGGTTGGCACAGCTGACAATCTGACAATACTCCCCAGTCTGACCAGTTCTCACACTTCCTCTCTCTCTTTCTTGATGGTGCTCCAACCTTCTCACTTCTGGTGACCCAAGTATGAAATGATGTACACCCATCATACACAGTGGTGCTGGTTATAAATCAGCTTCTTCCTTTTCCTTGAATATCAATTGTTTACACCCTAGCTTTGTGGAACTCATTGGAACAGGTAGAAATCTTCTGTATCCTAGAAAGTTCTTTCCTGTCATTTCTACAACAATGCCCCCCACCGTGGGTTCCTAGAATAGAGTGCAGTTTCCTTCTGAGTGACTGAAATTTATTTTATTTACATGTCCCTCATTGGAATGTAAGGTGCAGGGGGCAAAGGCTTGCTTGTCTCCTTTGTTGACCATATGCCCAGTGACTGGGGCATAAGATGTACTTTTAAAAAAAACAGCCAAGGAAATCAGGGGGAAGGGAAATGGAAATCCATTTATGAAATACAATGGGCACATCTGGGCTTTACAAATACTTTCCTAAGAGAAAACTTTGTGTATGGAATCACTGTGTTGATGTAGTTTCAAAGTCAGATCTTGACTACTGCTGTTAAAAGGGGTAAATACACCATTTCAGACACTAACCAGATCAAATAGAAGTGTCTGTTACATGGAGAATTCTGTGTGTACCATGTTAATGGACAATCTACATGTGCCACATTCATGGAGGGTTTTGTCAGTTACCCACATGTGGACATGTGTTGCAGTTATAATGCTAATGCCACTGCTGTGTGTTGAGATGTGCCCTATGGCATCAAACACTAAGAAAGCTGACAGTCACCAGATCACCTTTGTCCCTATTCTCTGAAATACTGCCAATAGTAGGGAGTCACTTGAATGCAATTTGCTTTAGCCCTTCTCCCTTATGGTTCCACTTCTGGAGTGGAATCCCACATGAGTGGGAATTGTACCAACTAGCAACGATATGTCTGTCCTAGTTTTCTGGTGGTACAGACCATCTCATACTACAGAAGCTTGGTCAACAGTGATGGACCACTTTCTCTTCATATATGCCTCACAGCATCTCCCAGGTGGCCAATGGACATGATAGATGGATCCAAGGTCAGAAGCCAGAACAAAGCAGAACTGTCTGACACTAGAGGTGAGTCACCAACTTGGCAGCTTATTGTACTAGTCCCCTCATGGAATGATGACACTTAAAACACAGGATACCCAGTCAGACCTGCACTTCTGTTGAACTGTATCGGGACATGAAGATCTTTTAGGACACAAGAAGATCTTTTAGGACAAACATGTCCCAAATATTATATAACATTTATGTATACTAAAAGAAAATAAAATGACCTTCACTATTGATCATATACATATATTCAAATCTAAACAGACATTCTGCAGTTTTATGATCTGATTCTGGCAAATTTACCCCCAGGAAAACCCCCTATCATGTTTTCCACCATCCAGAAACCTACTGTATGTGCCTACACATGTGTGTGTGCCTGTGTGTGTCTGCACGTGCATGTGTGCGTGCCTATGTGAGTATGCATTTGTGTGCTTCTCTGTGTGTGTCCATGTGTGCTTATGTACGTGCCTCTGTGTGTGCGTGTATGTTCACCTGTGCATGTGTACCTATGTGCGTGCCTCTGTTGTGTGTGCTCATGTGTAGAGGTAAAATGGCAACTTGAAAGAATTGCTTTTCTCTTTCTACCATGTGGGTCCTGTAGTTTGAGCTCAGGTCACCAAGCATGGCATTTTGCCAACTCAGAGCCTATAACTCTTTTAGTATACATATATTCTTTGTTAAATAGTATATTTCTCTTTTTCTGCATCCATCATGTTCTAGTATAACAGACCAGTAGTATGATGGGAGTTTCTTCACTATCTTGAGTTTTTTTTCCTCCTAGGAAACAGCATCAGTACCACTATGTTTTCTTGTCCTTCAATTACACAATCTGGGACCTCCTCTATAAAATATATTTTTCCCTGAGTCAGATTGGGCATTTGGTTCCTTTAGCCAAACCACTAACCTCTCCTAAAACATTTTCAACTGCAAGCTCTCCAGGAGATAAATGGAGGATATAAATCATTCCATCTGTCCCCACACAGAGGGGCCTGGTGACCATTCTGGAAAGCTACATGGGATTTCTATAGTTTTGACTGGTCTTTTTTTTTAAAAAAATCTGTTTCCTATCATGAAAAAATGATCTAAAAATGCTTGCACAGAACACCAGGACAAAGCCATCAGCGTGATCTCTCCAGAGGACTCAGGTTTCCATGGATTTCATCATCTTCTGTCACTATGTATCCTGAGATTTTAAAGAGTCATGTCTCCTTGGCAGACAAAATGCACTGAAGTATTAATTGGCAAAATTCCAATTATCTATGAAACATCACAGAAGGTACAAATCAAATATGTCAAAAGTAAACAAGGTTTAGAGTATATAAATGGTGAAATTTTAAGTCATATTAAAGCATTTCTATTAATAATCAGCTGGGGGAAAACAAAGTGTTTATTAAATCAACATGAATAAAAATAGTTGTCATTAAAGTAAACTCAATGCAGAAATTATGTGTCTGGTAATATAATCTTGGGTGTTTGATTGGAAAATTATTTTTAGGGTTTGGAAATTGAACCCAGGGCTTCACACAGGCTGGATAAATAATCCACTACTAAGCTATATCCTCAGCTCCCTTCAGATAGCTTTTAAAAGATTCAGTGCTATTGTATGAATGTACTGTTTTAAGCATATGCATTGTTTTTTTTGCATGTATGTATGGACACCATTTGCATAACTGGTGTCCATGGAGGCTGGAAGAAAATGCCAGATCCACACAACTGGGGTCACAGATGGTTGTGAGTCGCCCAACATGAGTGCGAGGAACTGAACCCAGGTACTCTGCAAGAGCAGCAGAGGGACTTAACTAATGTGCTATCTCTCCACTGCATCTGCAAATTAAACTCTGTAGATGCTAACATTGTTGAGTCTCTCATTAGAGCTGTACCACCAGAATTGGACTCATTTTATCTCCCGCAAGTTTACACCGAAATGGGTAAAGACAAAACATGAGCAGAGTACTAGTTTAGTCAATACAATTTTGAAACTTCTGCCATTTCAAAGCTGAGGGTGAAAATAACAATGAATGAATGAGTAAAAGGTAGGAAGGAAGGAGGGAAGGGAGGGAGGAATGGAGGAAGGGAGGAAGAAGAGAAAGTAAGCAAGAAAGAAAGAATGAAAAAAAGAAAGGAACACAAACAGCTGACCTTTGCCGGGAACTTCTGTCCTGGGATCCCAGGGTCTTTGCTCAGAAGGGAGGCTCTGGCCACTTCATAAGCTCCTCTCTGGTCCCATAAATTCACCCCTGAATCAAAAGAAAAGCAGCTGGGTTTTCATTCTAGTGGAAGAATTTGGCATCAGAAGCTTATTACAAAAATGACACAGTGAAAATACTTGGAAGTTTAGTGAGTCCAGGGAAATGCTAGAATCCATTAAATCATAGTAAGCATTACAAATATAAGAATACTGTCAATCTAAACATTAAAATACTGTACCTCAAAGACAACAAACAATTTTTTTCTTTCCAGTCCTGTAATCCATGTTGGATTATTAGTTCAAGCAAAGTATATAATTCAGCCTTTCAATTAGCAGCTAAAGTGCACACGCAGTGACTTTTAAAAATGATAAATTGGTACTATACTTAAGAACAACTCTGTATTAAAAGTCCCAAGGCCTTAGCTGTATTAAGACTAAATCCATTTACTTAAGTCTCAGTGAATCTGTTAGACACAATGCCAAGTCTCCTCTGGGCACTTAGGAAGTCTAATTTTATATGCTTTGGTAAGTGATTCTATAGATAAAATTAATTTGCCAGTTCAGACTGACTAGACTGCTTTATTATTTTTTTAATAAAGTCATTCAAAAAGCTATTCTACACACTTGTTTCTTGGGGTCTTGCCTGTGGAGCCTGACAGGCCACAGGTTCAATTCAGCCCCATTTCCATAAGCAAACCCAATGGAAAGAATAACATTTTTCTCTTCTAGAAGGTGTATCGTTTTCATAACCAGCATGGTGATTTCTCTGGACTTGTTCGCCTATGAGGTCACACCCTTGCTATTCGGTGGGCCCACAGCATGGGCCTGGAGGTGAGGGATGGGACCAGATTCCCCCACATGTTATTCCCATTTCTTCAGCCAGAATCCATGATTTTCAGACCTGAGTCATAATAGCACAGTTTCAAGTTACTAAAGACTTCATATTTATGGGGCACAAACGGTATTGAAATTTTAATCCTAGACATTTTACAATTCCCTTAATACTTCTAAATCCACACCGTTTTATCATTCTCGATGTGGAAGTCTGCAGTAATAGTCAGGACACAAAAGGATTACTACTGGAACGTTAACTGTCTCATGTGCCTTTCCAGAACATTCTCAAAGCTGGTCTCAAGCATTCTAAACTCCTGGTTATTGAGCAACAAGGAGTGAAAAGTCATGAACATGGCCAGAGGCAGAGGAATGAACTGGTCCTTCAACTATGTTGGGAAAGGGAGAAAAGGATCATGGGTACAGGTCAAGTAAGGGGAGGAGGAAGGCAAAAGCACTTGTGATGATTAATATTCATTACTTCTAGCCAGAGATAGTATAATCACCCATGAGAGAAGCTTCTGGGCATGTCCTAGAGAGAGTTTATAATTGGATTAGCTGACATGTGATGACCTTAAAGTTAGTGGTACCTTCCTATGGCTGGAGTTTCAGATTCAGTAAAAAGGAGGAAGTGAGATGAGCAGCAACATTCAAATTCTGCTCCCTCACTGTGGATGCAATGTGACCAGCAGCCTTGGACTCCTGCCACTATGCCTCCCATGCCATGATGGACTGTTCCCTTCACCGTGAGCTCAAATAAGCACTCTTGCCTTAAGTTGCATTTGCTTAATTATTTTGTCACAGCAAGATAAGTAACTAATATAGTGTTCAGATGACACAAATCTATGGGTAAGAGATGACATCTGTACACTTCAGGGGACTGTCTAGATGGAAGATATCAGAAGTTCACCTTGCTGCAGTGGGGTCATGCTGACAACCTGAAGCCCCATGTCTCCATCTGGTAGCCTCATAGGTCATGCATCAAGAGCTTGCCACCATGGATCCCTGGTCCCTAGTTACTCTACTTCTTTTTTTTTTCCTCACTCAACCAGTAAGTTCTGCTTTGGGCTTGCTTGTGGGTACTCTAGACTTGATGCTTCCATTCAGAAAGCCCATTCTGTCACCATCTCCTACTGTCCTCTGAGGCTAGTGTTTTCTAACTGCACTATGGAAACCTCATTCTCTTAAATATATCCACCCCAGAAGACTCAGCAGTGTCAATCCTGTGTCTAACATGCGGGCACAGAGGGAACTGCCCTATGATGGATGTTGTTGTTTGGCTGTGGCCGCAGTAAGGAATGACTCACACAGTACAACAAACCCAAGTGGTAGTTTATTAGGAGGAGGGGAGTTAGGGAGAGCTTGTGATCTAGAAAGAAAGAGAGGAGAGCATAAACAGGAGAGGGGAAAGGGGAGAGAGAAAAGAGAGGAGAGAGAGAGAGAAGAGAGGGGATAGAGGAAAAGAGAGAGGATAAAGGAGAGAAGAGGGAGGAAGAGGGGAGAGAGAGAAAGGTGGAGCTTGCTTAAAAGAGAACGTGAACGCTTGTGCACGCATGCAGAGCCTTACACAACCTGTGTAAGACTATGAGGTAGTGGTGCAAGGCTGCAGGGTCCCTGGACTGACTAAGTGTTTGCCTGAATGCCGATGGTTACATCCTGCCAGCTGACAGGGGGTGAGCCAGTATAAGGCCTGGATTCTAACAATGCACATACTTGGCCCAGAGACAACAGAATGAACATGAGATGAGAATCTTTAATCTGAAAACCCAAACTCTGCAACCTCCCCCAATACAAACACTCTTGAACTTGAAATGCTACTGTCACAGTCAAATTCTGTGCCTGACTCCTCATGATGGTCACAGTCACAATGCAGGTATTCTAATGCTGAATGTGGTAAAGTATATGCAGAAGTATATTTAAATAACATGTGAAACACAAATGGGCACTGGGAGATGGTTCAGTCCATAAAGTGCTTGCTGTGCCAGAATGGTGATCTAAATTCAGATTGACAGTATCCATAGGGAAGCGAGGTGTGGCAGTATGCATCTAGAACCCCAGAATTAGGTATGTGAGGCAGGGCAGATACAGATGGATCCCTGGAGCTCACTGGCCAGCCAGTTTAGCCAATTCGAGAGTTTTTGGTTCAGCAACAGAGTAATGTCTCAATATCAACAACAATAATATTAATAAAATGTAAAGAAACTGAGGAAGAGACCCTCCATTTACACATGCATGTATAAACACATAAACAGTAGAAAATTGTTTTATAGAAATATAAGAGATTTTTTGCATTTTTACATGAGTTCCATCTCCAAAATATCTAGCAACTCATATGCATATAATTTCCTAGAATCTGGACAGAAGTTTCTGAAATAACTTCCAATCCCAAGCAAACAGCCCATAAGACTGGTCCAGAAAGCATCACATGAAAAGAGACTGGTGGGGGAAGCTCTGTATCCTACATCCTCTGTACCATTCTTGAATCTCTCCGGCAAATTCAGTGTTGCCTCAAGACACAGACAGCAGCTAGGAAGAGGAGAGTGGCTGGAGACGAGACCCTTGAGGGAGAAGCCAGGAGAAAACTTTCGGAGTATCGTTGGCTTTGTGGAGTACATGAGTTGAGACCTGTAGATGAAAACTCTCCAGACCCAGTGGAGCCCCAGGAAGGAAGATCCAATTGGCCAGGAAGAGTTATCTTCTCTCTGAGACAGGTGGAGTGTGGTCATCCTAGAGGATGATCATACCTAGTGCAGCTCAGTCATAGCTCACCCCCAAGGCATTGCTCTCGGTACTTCACTGACAGGTGATTTGCCTGGAACTTAAGAGACTCACACATCATAGTGGGTTCTGATCCAGTGAGGTAGCTCCTGCAAATTCATACCACAGTGCACAAAGTGCTTATGAGAGAGCTTGTAGGCTACTTGAATTGGGTAAAGGTTATTTGAATATACCAGCAGTTGTAAACTACCAGCACCATTGAAAACCATGCCAAGAGTGACTATGGCCACTATGGTGTTCTTTGAATTCAGGTAACTACTGTCATGAATGTGGGCACAGACATCTTAGCATCTTTGCCAATAAACATATCAGCTGAATTATAGATTATCCCTGCCAGCTTTGAATTAAATTAGCGGTACAAGTCCATTTGTTAAACCAGCTGAGAGTAAAGTCAGCTATCCTAGGGCCTGGTACTGGGCAGAAGAAGAAGTCTAACATCAGTATCATCTATTCCCTACCACCTAACCCCAGTGAGAGGAGGAATGAATGTTTCTGCATACATTCCAGCTACAGCAGAGAAAAGCCTAGAAGACTTGCCCACAGGCTTCTGATGCTTGAGGCAACGGTTTTGCAAGTTCTACATCCACAAGAGTTGCTGTCTTAGACAAAAGGAGATAGCAAATGGTCCCCTAATCAAGCCATTACCATCTGCTCTCCCAGGAGAGATACCTTGACTTCAGGAGCATACGGAAAGCCTGTGAGTGGGGAACTTGATTTAATCAGGCTGAGGCCCAAAAAAAATCCAATGTAAAGAACCTTCTCAGTCTTCAGGACCAGTTCCTCTGCCTTCTAGGTGACAGAGAATGACAGCTACTTGATTTCCTGTGGGTCAAATGTGCCAAACATTAAACACTCTCCCCTTTCACCTACATTTTTCCAGACTCCAAGTTCAAAGTAAGGCTCTCTTTTGGCTGCAAAGTTCTCCACAAAGAGACTTTATTTCTAGATATTCCTAGGAGAATCTGAAGGCAGACTGGGACAACGCTTGTGAGACATTTTGCAAGGCTCTGGAGAAGTTGCATAACTGCACTATTTGCTGAGCACAGTGTTTATTATCTGTGTACAGGAATAATGGAGCCATCTCTGGGCTTTTTAATTGGTTGCACAATATCCCCTCCATGGGATCTGTGGTCAGGAGGCTGTTTCTTATGAGCTTTGCTTATGTATTTATGCACTAGTATTTCTTTTAGATGGTACAAATAACATTTTTATTTGTGCAGCATGGGTAGACAAAATGAATTACACACAGCTGTGAGATATCAGGATGTATTTTATGCAGCTATCTTGTTGACAAACCATAAGAGGAGGCCTTGAATGATGCATACGTTCAGAAAATACAACCTTATAAAATGCACAGTTTGTATACAGTTTGTTTTTCATAATCTGAATTTGGGCATCGACAAAACTTACTGTTATCTAAAGAAGAAATGTGGGCAACTC